ACACACAGATACAGATTTTGAAATAAAAAATATAACTAGATACAGATATAGATACACAAAAAGTATCTAGGTACTACAAAAAGATACATGTATCTAGATATATTACAACACTGTAGATAGGTAAAAATAAGGAATGGATGTGTATGGTTAAGAAATATAATTGTAAGCCAAGTCCCCTACTTGACTACGTTAGCTGAAGAAAAATATATTGACATTGATGTGATATATACGGAATGAAAAACTTGACTAATCTATCTAAACTTTTCTCCCTATGTAACGCACAATTAGTCTCGTGCGCGTCTCAAACGAAGCCATCGATCGGTCGCGATATATCCGGTTAAAAGTCCAATACCATTATCGCTTTATCTTAAAACAGGCGTATTGCTTGCGCGAAAACGCCAAGAGTGAACCCATGTATTTCGGGACGGGGCACATAGAGCGGGAAGTGGGCCTTATATACCGGTAAGCGATACAGGTGAGGATTTAGCGGGGGAAGGAGTTAAATCCGCGGAAGGTCGTCTTCGTTCTACTCATCGGCCGCTGTCGCCTTTATCTCTAACCCCGTACATCCGGGTTTGCCCGTTCGTGCCGGCCTCGTGCTCGTGGCTTTGGACGGGAGCGTGTAATTAGTCCATTTTGAATGTCCTACGGCTTTACCGTAGACAGGAAAGTCGACTGCGGCGTACGTGCTTCGCGAGCGCGATACGTATTCCGGACGTCGATTGCCGTGAGATTACGGTAAAAGTACCAATTTCCAACTCTGAATGCTCCTGCCATTTTAGCCGTCGAATAAGAATAATCAAACTTTCGACATAGAATAAAAGGCTTTCCTTGTATCCGAAAGTAGTATCATATTCAAACGCATCTCCATGGATTCATGCCGTTTTGTAAAACAAATGACGACTTCGTTTGTCAACATAATGGATGCAAAAATTCGCCATCCCTGCCATAATGCCCGTAGTGAAAAATGGTGAATTATTCATGAGGTTAATCAGGCTGTTTTGAAATACGAGAACACATGAGGCAATTTCTCAGTCAAAATGAAGTGCAAAGCATAAGCAAGCAAAAATTCATTATGTAAAACAAATGTCCAGGCAGCGACGGTGCATTTGCTTTACAAAATTCCGCTCTCATCAAATACTCGTTGGGAAAAATAATAATCAATTCATACACATTTTGCTCTCGATATTTTGATTCGTATACTTTGTTTTCTTGAAAAGAAAGTTGGTTCTTATATATTTTATATAATTTATATAATTTATATGTTAATTAGGCACACTCTTTGTGATTGAGTTTCACATGACGACCTTAACTACCGTCCAGAGATACATTTGCCTCACGCGTTAACGGAGCAGATTTCGCACTTGCGGCGGCTGGGAAATTCGTCTCTAGGAAATTCGTTCACGCACACGTTCGAGCAATGTGTACGTCCGTTGACCACACGCGTCTCGCTCCCTCTGACGGTAAGTTTTATCGGAGATTATCGTCAACTGCGCGATAAAATTCTTCGCGTTCGCGTTGCGAGGAGAATCTGCGATAACGATGATCACGAGAATTCGCGGCGGTAACAACCGTCCTGGCAGACGCGACGCGAGGAAAACTTTTCGTGGGGAACTGAATAAACGGCCAACTTATCTCTCGACGCCCTTTCGAAATGTCTCTCCTCTCGAAATGTACTCTGTGTACGTAATGTCTTCATTGTGCGAGAGAACGCGAGGTCGCGGAGAGAAGAAAAGAATAGGTACATACTTCACGATGCTTGCTCATGCTTGAGTAAGATTGAACTAAGGCTTTCCCGCCGAAAATATTCGTACTTAACGATGGACAGTGTGTACTAACCACTAATACCGGTATTGCTCCCCTATTGTGGTACGTTTGTGATTCTGACGTTAATGTCGCTAATGCCATAGCACAATTCTCGTGTGTGACTAATTTACAAAATACGTATGTATGTATGTATGTATGATATATATATATATATGTGTATTTTAAGTTACGTAATATATAGACAGATAGAAAGAAGAGAGATAGACAGAGAGAAAGAGAAATAGCGGAAAAGGGGGCGAAGGGAGGGCAAGTATCTACGGATAAGTCGATAATTACAGTGTCGCAGCCATAGCTTAATGTATCCGCAGGTACCCTCTCTTTCATGTGTCGATACTTGAAAGAACAACACAGAGAATCGAACACAACAGCAGAGAATATCTCTGATCTCTCTCTTTTCCCTTTTTTTCTTACTTTTTTTTCTTTGTTTCCTTTTCCTTTTACCCGTCAGAAATCCCCCCACCCCTCCCGTATTGTGCTATCGCCGCGCCACTGCGTGCACGTGCGATGGTGCTCCAGGGAGTAAATGTGTGCTCTCACAAAAAAAGATATACCTGAAGAGAGAAAGTCTTCTTTGTCTTCAGTCGATTCAAGTTAATATCGACCAATTGGAACGAATGTAACGCGCGCAAAAACACAGCGCCCGCCGAAGGAGAGAGAGACAGAGAGGAGAGAAAAAGAGAGAGAGAAAAAAGGAAGCGTTGTTTGGTTGCGTTTACTTAATCGAGACGCGCGTAGCTCACGTCCGATTGATCACGAGAATCAAAATCTGACGGGAGAGAGAAAGAGAGAGAGAGAGAGAGAGAGAGAGAGAGAGAGAGAGAGAGAGAGAGAGAAAAGATGCCGCGAATACTAGTGATAATCTACCGCGGAATAATAGTCGCGCGCGAGGGTCTCTTCTAAACAGCTACAATATTTCCGCCGAGATAGATGTAACAAGTATCCAAAGCTCATCTCCTTCCCAATTAAGTAATTGAACAGTTCGCGAAAACTTTCTTCAGATACTTCAACGAACGAATTACGAGCGAGTTATGTACGTATGTTGTAATAATGCGACCGACTGTTACGTAATATTCATCAGTGCATGTGTGACAGAACTAATTAAAATCGACTCCAAATTACAGAGACAGAGAGACAGAGGAGCAGCAGATAATCGTGCGGGCAAAAAGAGAATAACGCAACAATCAATAAATATTTGAGAACACGCGCGCGGACCCCGATAAAACATCTCGAAATCAAACTGTATTTTTGCGCGAATACGCCCCGCAAAACAAGCGTCAATCCGCGATCAACAATCGGCAATTTTCGACGTCGCGCGAAAACCGCTATCGCGCATCCGACGAGAAATTGCTCTCTGTCTTTCCTCATTCGTTTCTGCCTATTAATGCTAAATGCCACTCTGTTTCCATTTCGATCACTATGTGCGTCACTCAAAAAACACGGTGCTCGTTTTCCAAAGGCACGCAACGTTCGGTAACTGCTTCAACCGGTCGCGCACACTAACTCTGCGAGTTGTATAGTGAGAAAATATTTTTGCGTCTCATTTGCAACGTACGATATGTGTCGCGCTGGCGATGGCGTTGAACAACGATCTGCGCTGTTCCCGTTCTCGTTTTCTTTTTTTTTTTTTCATTTTCCTTTACTCCGGCAAAATAGGATAACAATAGCGCGCCGGACGAGGGCAATCAAAGAGAACACGTGAAAGCAGAAACATCGAACATCCCACCTCTTTTTTTTTTGCTAAACTCACACATGACATATTCACACGCAGTGATCTGGTGAGGGGCTGTGGTGGAAAAGACGGAAGGGGGTCGTTTCGGAGAGCGGAGATGCTGCGCTTGTTTTCCCCCTTACGGTGTCGCGTTTTCCCCAATGCGAGCGAGACGATCCTGCGAGAATGCGAATACGATCGTATCGCGAAGTCCGGAAGAGCTCTTACCGCGAAACGACCGGAAGAGGATACGCGAAGAGGCAACGCCGACGATTTCCTCGCGGGTGGCGAAAACTTTTAGTAGGTTTCCAGTAACACGGCCGCCGCCGCCACGACGTCGTAATTAAAGTCGGTTAATCAGGCATGAAATCGTATCAAAGTCCACCGTTAACGACTGGAACAACTTCTGGTCGCGTGACCACCCCCGCGCCGACCCACCTCCTTTTTCCCGACCCACCACCCCCGCTCCCCCGCTCGACACGCACGTACACAAAGCTCAAAAGCAACTGCCACACTTAACTTAATGAAACGAGCCGAGGGGAGCGCTGGTGGCAGACAAAAGATATTCCAGCGCGGACGACGACGCGGCGCGACGGATAGAGCTGAATGCCGCCCTTTCGCGAGCGCGTCTTTCGGCGAGTCCTATTTCGCCAGAGCAGCAGACAGACAGAGAAAAAGCGGAGGAGTCTCGACGCGACACGCGCATAATTATTACAAACGTTCCTCCTCGTTATTCGGCGAAAGCGGCTAATTGGCGCGTTAAAGAAAAAAAAATACCGTACGCGCCGAAAGAAAGACAAGCCCAAGTATCTTCGAGGATGAGAAGAGAGAGATAGAGAGATAGATAGAGAAAGAAAGAGACAGAGGGTGGATTCTTGTGCAGTGATTGACGAGCAAGAAAGGGGTTCGTTATATATAACGCTAATTGCGTACAAATAAAATGAATATACTGTCGGTCGCGCGGATCGTGGACAAGCGTGTCGACAATCTTCGGGATCTCAAGCGCTGTGTACGAGATCCTTTGTATGCCGGGTAGAGAGTAAGAACGGAAAGCTCGAATTTATATTCAAAGCGGCGGAACAAATCGGCGCGAGATTTAGGGACGAGCGCTTTTGCGCTCTCGCTCGCGATTCCCGAGGAAACTACACAAGGGCCGCTCTTTTCTTTCCCCCCTCCCCTATCTCGTGAATGATGGATCCGAACAATATAAGAATTGTGCGTGAGTGCACTTATCTCGGCCGTCCCGGCGACGGATTGGCGACGCCGACTGATAGCGATTGACCGACGGGAGGGAGCGCGAGAAATCTCCGGCCGCCGAGAAGCGCGCGAGACGCGAGTCCACGATCGGCGGGGACATCATCACATGGCACTCGGATGCATCTCGGTCGTGGAATCGAGACGATAAGCGGAAATGGAGGTCCCGCGAACAAGGACGATCCTGCGATCAGGATCTCGACGAGGGTACCTGAGCCACACATGGGCCGGGCTGCTCGCAACTGCATTGCTGTTTCGCTCGTTAGCAGGGCTTGCCATCCAGTTCGTTGTACGCGCTTTCCTGATTGGTCAGACACTGATCAGACGGAGGGTCGGATGTGCATGATTCGAGTGGCGATCATGTCCATCGTTTCACCGCTCCTCAACGCGTGACACATCGTCGCGCGCCGACGCGACTGCCAAGACGCCAAGACGAATTCGCATTCAAACGTACCTTTCCCGTCGCTCTTTACCTCTTCCTTCTGTCCGGCGCGATATCGATTACGCGCGATCTTTAATCGAGAGTTGTACAGGTGTCTCTCCCCCGGTGCTTCTTCCCCATCTTATCCGGAGATACTTGGTCAATTTAGAACCTTGGCCTTTAACGGAAACTCCATCAAACATCTTTTTCATATTTTAATATTCAACGCCGGATATCTTTGTATGACTGGCTCTTAAATTAGAATCCCGCCCGAGTGCCCTCAAAGTTAAACGAGGAGAGTCATCTTTTGTTGCCGCTAAAATACACCGGCCACGAGCCGATCAAAGAAATACACGGATAAGAGACACGTTTGAGTGGAGGGAGCGAGGGAGGAAGGGAAGCAAAGCGACGGAACGTCCCACGTACTCGGAAGGAATGTCGTAAAGTAATCAGCCGGAAAGAAAAGTCACGTCGAAGGGACACGAGAGAGACACACAGCGCGCAAGACCAATATTTTCCGTCCTTCGTGTCCTCTCTTCGTCAAATTGCGGCAATGGATACCCACCACGATTCTCTCGCGAGATCGCTGAAAACTCCCGGGGATAAGTACGACCAGCTCGTACGACCGCGATCAAATTTTCCTGCCGGCAGCTGTCAGCTTCTCCACCAATTCCGCGAGTCAAATCAGATCGAGAAAGAATAGAGAGAAAGAGGGAGGGAGAGGGAAGAAAGAGAAGGAGAGAAAGGTGAGAAAGAGGTAGAAGGAAATTACGCCGCGCCGTGACGTAAATGCAACGTTAACCCGTCTAATAAGCGTATAATTATCCGTAATTTCGCGCGCCAGAAGAAATCGCATTATCAACTCCCGACGGTTCAAGTTCGCGTTGCAGTTTCGCGGAAATTTTATTATCCACACCGCGCTTTTAGTACACACTCTGCGATAAACAGCAACCTATTTCTCCAATGAACTTTAATCATCGTCTTTCATTCCACGTGTTCGTTCGCGCTCGCTCATCCGTTCGTTTGTTCGCTCCACAGGAGGATTCTCACGATTTTTCCGACGAGGTTCTCGCATTACCCCCGTCTTATTCCCGCGCCGGCAACGTGAAACGTCTCTCCAACGTCGTCTTTACGTGCTCTCGGGGAAAGTCAATAACAAAGGTATTACACGGCGGGAAATGTACATCGCACGGCGGCAAAAATCCATTAAACGGCGCGGTTGGCGTGGGTCGAAAACCGGAAGTACACGCGGCGGCGGTGACGGCGGTGGGGAAACACGCGGCGGGAAAAAGTAATGGCGTGCGAGCGCGAGAGAGAGAGAGAGAGAGAGAGAGAGAGAGAGAGAGAGAGAGAGAGAGAGAGAGAGAGAGAGAGAGAGAGAGAGAGAGAGAGAGAGAGAGAGAGAGAGAGAGAGAGAGAGAGAGGGAGGGAGGAGAGGAGGGGAGAGGAGAGAGGAGAGCGGTGCCCGGTGACGGATCCGCACAAGGCGAAACGTCAGCCGACGTGGGGCTGCACGTTACAGGGTTTATTATAAGCGGCCTCGTTTTCCCTCATTTCGCAACACGGTCAAGCGGTGCATCGCGTGGTGGAAAATAATTTGCACCTTTAGTGGAACGCGGAACGCCACCGTCGTCGTCGTCGTCGTCGTCGTCGTCGTCGTCGCGGGGCCCAAGCGTCAAGAAAAGACTCGCGCTCGATCGAGATACTATTACGCGCGTGTTCTCTCTCCCTCTCTTTCTCTATGTAGAGAGCTCCTAGAAATAAACCCCCGGCAAAAATTTGCATACGGAGACCGAATCGCGCATATCGCACGTACTTTATCGGAGCCTTTAACAACGCGACTTAGCCGGATTTACTCGCGCGGCGTATTATAAAACGTCACCGCCGCGCCAACACCGCCAGTCGCGCGCATTCGTAAATCCGCCGGATATTCGGGGAGCGCGAGGTCCAGCAAATTGTGAGGGCGCGATTAGCCCCCTTTTCGAGAACCGTCGGGGAAGGTCGATAGCATATCGACCGCTGGGCATGTCGACGACCGGGCAGTAGGTGAAAGCACGCCATCCCCGGCTGGAAGGGTCGCGCGAGGATCACGTAGCGGTCCCTGGGGAACGGCGGAGTATATGGGAGAGACGCCTATCCGCGTGTATTTAATATGTATGTATGCGAGCCCGAAAAAGTTGTACTTGTTGCTGCCGAAAGCTCCGCACATTCCGGGTGTGTCGTGATACTCGCGGCTTTGACGAGGGGACGACCCCGAGACCTTGACCAATATGCCCCAAGCGAGCGACGAGTCGCGGAAAATCGCCCGAGAACTTACATCCACTCTGTATTAAAACTTGCAGAAATCGTCAAAACTCTAGTAGTAGCTTTCACGGGAACGCGTATCGCTTTTCCCTTTCCTCACGTTCTCAAGAGAGAGCCCCCGGGGAGTCCTTAAACGCGCGAAATTTCAAGTTAAGAAATATGACGACGGGCGTAACGCAAAATCTCGCCGCGAGGAGGCGAAAGAACGCGTGAAGACGAAAACTTCGTGATTCACTTCGTTCATACGAGGATCCAATCGTGTCAAGGTGCGGATGCAGGACAAAGTCACGTGTCCTCACCGTTTCTTTACTTCATCTCGCGTACGATCCGTTTGGGACTGCAAACGCGTTGGTGTAAAGAGAGATTGTAATTGGTCCATATGGCACTTCGAAGAGTAAAATATAGCAGTTCGCAGCGTTAAGTCGATCTTGCTCCCCGTCGCGCAAAATCGCGGACAAACTCGGAAAGCGCTGCGTGGAACACGAAGACGCGGAACGTGCGGCCGCGGATTCGACAAGTTCGCAGACGTACTCAATTAAAAGTTCGCCCCGTAATGCCGACGAGCTGCACGACCGGAAGCAGCCCTCGCTCCGTGGCGGAGACGACGGGGCTTCCGGTCCGCTTTCTTTTGCCCCGCGGCTCCACCCGTCGCACAGGTCAAATGAAATTTCACGTTTCCAAAAGTCTGCAATCTTGAACTTTGAACTGATTTTCTTTTTTAATGAAACCTAATGAGATTTGGAGCAACTTTGTCGAGCGAGATTTTCGAGCCAAATTGACAAGTTACTTTTCAAAATTCTTTCTCAATTATGATACAGATTCTACAGATGTAGAAGCTCAAGATTTGTTACGTCAAGAAAAATAATTAATAAAAAAATTGATGACATAATAGTAAAATTTTAATCTTTCTCAATTTTTATTTGAAATTAAAATAAAATTAGGTACTATTTTAATTAATCTCATTTGTTAAGTTAAAGTAAGATCTAATGAGAGACTATGCCCGGATGATTTTTTTCAAGCCTTTAATCAGGATTTGAATACTTAATTGCAATATCAATATTAGTGCTTGATGTCAGATTACATGAGATATGAAATGAATTGTCTGTTTGATCGAAAAACATTTCTAAATTTAACTTTTTCATGTCTGATTTAGAAAAAGAGAGACAAGAGATGAAAATCTAATTCGACGAAATTGTTCTAAATTTTACTGACTTTCATTAAAAAGAGGAAAAAGCATCGAAATCGATTCAAATTTCGAAGCTGTAGCCTTTCTTGAAACATGGAATTTTGTTTGACCTCACTGTATGCCGCCGTCGCGATTTCGTCGAGAATGGCAAGCTGTCGATCCCCGCATCTCATCGATCACTTCGATTGCGCACGAAAGCGGAGAGTCCGACTTGCGAGTTTCCAGCTCGAGTTCTCCGCGTTGAAGATTTTTACCCTTTTCTCTCTCTCTCTTTCAAAAACGTTTACCTTCCCGCTACGAAGCCCCGTTTCAGACCACGTCGGTCGTAAAAATCGGAAGGCGAGATCCGATCGATTCGAAGCACTTCCTCTCTCCGCTCCGCGAGGGAACAGCGCTCTTGGCAGTCGCGTCGCGCTCGTCAACAACACGCGGTAAAGAGCGAGCCGCCGCTTCGCGCGGCTTTTCTTTCGTTCTTAGTCTTGCTTGACAGAAATCATGGCGCGATATCAGAACGTCATGCTGGCGTTCGAAGGGACGGTTAGGAGCGAGTGAGCGAGCAGCAGATCGGAGATGCGACACGTCGATACCTCGTGGCCGCGACCCCGGGGAGCGACGAGTCGCCGCCCGCGCGAATCCCGCGAATGACGCTCGCTGAAGGAGAGGTGTACTTGCTGGCGTCGCAGCTCCGGATCTTCTGCTCGCTTGACACGACGACACCGATATATAACTGTACGTCAAACGTATTCCCAGCTCGTATACGATTACATACGTCAGACATGCGATCTCATCATCTACCACTTATGTAATCATTGCAGAATCGTGTCGTCACTTACCGTACGGCAGCTCCAGCCGGCAGTCGATCAGCAGCGAATGACCCGACGGCTTCTTCGTGCCGATGATCTCAGTGCCTCTCATCTCCAGCTCCAGGTTCAGGCCGACCCATTGGCCGGTGGTCTCCTGAAATCAACACAGCACGGTCATCTCGACGCAGGCACAGAGAGGGATATGCATTTCAGATCCTTCATATCGTATCATAGCCCATAGACACGGCTGAGGATAATACTTAGCTCGACTACTGCGAGGAGCGCACAAGCCAAGAGTCTACTGGCTCGCGGCGGCAACGCCGAGATGATATCTTCAACACGCGTCTCCGCGCATAAAATAATAAATTAATTAATACCGACCATTATTCACTTCAGCTTCAACGGTACGTTGCCGGCGACGCGAAATAATTCACTCGAAACAGCCCCTCTTTCTCTTTCGTATTCCAGCGCCGTGCGCGCACCTCCGGCCACCCCCGTCTACCGCCATCTCCCCCGAGAGCAGGTGCAATTATTAGATACGAGGCAGATATAATTTATGTAACCAAAGTAACTTCGTCGAAGGCACTTTTTGCTCGCCGAGGTATGGGATTAATCCATGCGCGGATATGGTATTACGTGGACGCGATATTACGTTGTAGCGATGATGTACTTTACGGACGTGCACGTGCGGTTTATGCGCCGCCGGCGAGGAACGTCTGGCGCTCCAGCTCTACGTCGTCGTCGTCATCGTCGTCGTCGTGGTGGATAGAAAAGGAGCAGCAGAAGAAAAATATTCAATCCTTCGGTTCCACTTCTCCGTCTCGCGGTTGGAGCGCGAGCGAACGAAGAGTACGAAAAAAATCGAGCGCAAATTGGTCGCAGACCGAACACGATGGCGACGGCGACGGCGGTGAATCCGGGAGAAAATTTCCGACAAAGCGCAAAAACCAATAAACGTCCAACGGAACTGAACGCGCGTGGAGCACGATACGTGTGTCCTGAGATTAAAACAAAGCGTAGTCGCCTACTGCATCGATGGGTTTAACGGTTTAAACGCTCCACAACGGCCAAATGTATCGACACCGACGATAGTACTATTAAAGACCGTCAGCCTAAATTTTCGTAAGCGCAAAGGAACCCCCGAGTGGTCCAGGGATAATTGATAGAGGATGACATTATTGTTCGTTTTTGCCTATTCAATAGAAATACCTGGATATTATAATTTATGATTATCTTGTCGTTTCATTTAATTTTTAGCGGTGTCTATGCATATTAGATTTGGTTTCCGGATTTGAGCCGCGTGGATTCATCTTGTTTGATTCCGACGTTTCGCAAACATTTCAGTCTGCTTCAACAGGAAAGAACAACCCGATGTTTTATTGTAAGTCATTGTTAGTTACATACACATAAAAAAATTAGTATCTACTTGAAATTAATATACCTAACTTAACAATCATCATTTCGTATACAAGCAACGATATATAATTTTATTAGAGGGATCTTTAAGTTTAGAATTTCAACAATGTAATTTGAATATTGTAATAGTCTCATAAAAAGTACAATATGATCATCTTGACGACAATCTTCCTTCATTAACATTTAAAATCATTAAATTCTCAACTGAATATTACTTCCCATTGATGAAAATTATTTTGAAACAATAAGAATATTGTTCCTCTTAGTCTTATTTTCCTCTTAGTTGTGAATCATTTCAAATGTATTGTACTTATCTTCGTTTAATCTCACTTGAAAATTTATTTTTGTCAAAAATAAGGATATTTTCGAAACAAAGACGTTTTCTCTCTGTATACAGATCTATGGTATGAAATATGTTAGATATTTTAATGAAACTGTATTTTTTCTGCAGCTATCATCCTGATTTCACACAAATTTATGCTGACAGGGAAATTATTAAATAATGAAGTTTTCTATTACGTCAAATCCCGTAAGGCCAACGGTCTCTAGAATTAATGCCTGTCAATTTAATTTTTCCCGGCGCAATCCCTCGCAAAGGAGGCGGAGACCCTTATCTCCTCTTGCCGCGACGACGCAGCATGATCTAACTTACGCGGGATATTGCCCGTAATTCTTTTTTATTGATCGGACAAGTTTAAGCCGATGGGCGCGACGTGCCTGTTAGCTTACGGATCACTCGCGAGTTTCTCAATCACAGTCGCGAGATATCATCCTTAACGAATCAACGGTAAGCAGATTGGTGTAATCTAAACTCACGGCGGTGACGAGCGAGCGGAGCCGCCTCTCAAAACTTCTGCCGATGATTTAAAACACGGAGAGAGAACTTCGCAAACACCGCTCCACGTGTCGCGCTCCGACGTCGACGTAGAACGACGAGGACGACGACGAAGACGGCGGGGAGGAAAACATCGAAATTGTAGCAGTGCGCGGGTCCGCGCGCAGCGAAAAAGTATTCCTCGCAAACAAGATACAAATCCCGCGGCGGCGTTCTGTCTCGAATGGATCTGTTTGTCCCGAGAAATTCCACGAGAATTACGACCGCTCGGCTCTCGAGGAAGAGGTACCGCGGCCAAATCTCGATGATGCGTGAAGTAAACATTAGAACGTTACTGACACTCGCGCGCTGCCAAGTCTCGTCTGGGCGAGAGAAAAATTGCTCTTGCCGCGTCGATTGTTTCCCGAGGAGCTCCCCACATTTTCTCCACTGATCAGACAATTATGTTATGTCGTCGCTACATCAATTTCGCGGAGTGTGCGAATATCGCTGACGCAGCGATAGAAATGATCGTCTCGGGTTATCGTAGCGCAAACACTTCCAAGAAAACATATAATCTCATCCCCAGACGAATCCTCTTATGTGCTAACCTCAAGAGGGTTATTCTCAATCCACAAGAGAGAGAAATATTCTAATACTAAAAAAGAAACCTTCTTGCAAGGTGCTGCGTTTCCTATAACTCCATATCCTAAACGCAAACTTTCACCGTGAGCGCATTGCTCTTCTAACGATGTAGACTGTTAATAGAAAATCTACACGGAGGAAAAGAGATTTTACTGCCACAGCTAATTACGCCTTGCCGAGAAAACGATTTGTTGCTGCAAATTAAACTTTTACTACTATTGCTGCTACGTCAGTTGTGTCGCTAAATATGTGTACGCCTACTGGCAGCTTACATACTTTTAGGTATTTACATTACAACGAGATTTAGCTAGCGCACACAGATTCTTGCTCTGCTGCAGCTAAGTGCACTAAATATTATTTTAACATTTTTTCCTTTCGAATTCAAAGAGATCAGAGAGATGTTCACCTAAACCTGAACCAGAATGTCCTTTTACGCGCGGTACGAAGAACGAGCAAGACTTGCACTGTAGATGAAAGAGCAAATTTCTCCAACTTTGAGAATATTGTGCTTCGAATATTTCGCTTTTGATCATAGAAGAATTCTCTTCAGGCCACAAGAGAATTCCGCCAAGGATAAGATTTCGTGCGCGACTAATCGTCTCGTCTTTCTTCTCTATTTGCCTGCTCGTCTCTCTCTCTCTCTCTCTCTCTCTCTCTCTCTCTCTCTCTCTCTCTC